TACAACATTTACCGTTTATTCATTTGTGTCATTCAGACTTATTTCCGAGTCAAAAATGAACTGAAGGTCATCGGACATATGTCCGACCCAAACTCAACGTCATCGGACATTTTGTCAGACGGCCCTGAAAAAGATATTTTAAGGCCTGCTGGCTCGTGCCTGCGCATAAAAAATCTTGGACATAATTTTGGCTAAGTGAGGCTTCTGGTCTATTTTCTATTCTGTGTTTCCGTTACGTGAAAAGACTGGGCATGACAACAGTGGGCATGCCTGGGCCAGTGAACTCTCGAGCTCTCTCTCTCTCTCTATATATATATATATATATCTGGAATGATAACATTCAGTCATTTGATTGTGAAAACAATGAAGCCTCTATACCAGTCTTTCACGCGGATTGGACGTCAGTCTCAGTCCCTCAAACGTCAGGTTTACGCGGATTGGACGTCAGTTTCATTCTCCCTCTTGCAAACCGTTGCACGGCCAGTATAAAGTTGAACGCAATCACGAAAAAAAAATTAAAAACATGCCAACTCAATGCAATACATTGTAGGAGCAAACAGTTTTGCTCCTAAAATTTACTGCATTGAGTTCGCTGTCGGAAAAAAGTCGAGGAAAACTTCCCCGTGTGGAGAAAAGAATCACTTTTTCAAATATATTGTGTCGTACTGTCGTTCTGGATGCACAAGGAAAGAGATATTCTTGCGAGAAAATTTCATTTCACAGGTAGGTAAATTGACTTGCAATTAACTGTGACTTTGCCGTTGCCATTTTTCGCGATTGTTTGAATTGTTTTTTAGTTTACCAGTTTTATAGTTTTTAGTCAATACACTGGTACGAGAATTTATTGTGTGATGGGAATTTGCCTGCCAGCAAAATGTAAATGAATATGTACGTGTGTTTGAATATAAATTAGACCATATGGGCTCAGTAAAAATTATTTTAATAACTACGTTTCGGAGTATAACTCCATCTTCAGGTTAAAAGTGAATAAAGATATAAAAACTGTGATAAAAACTTTCAAAACAATTACAAATTTTATATGTAAGTGAAAGTTCTTGAACAGTTGCTGACGAAGACAATGACGAATACTTATGTCATGACTCGTGACTTTTTTGTCGGCTTCACTTTTCGCTCGCTGTTATCGTTCCAGATATATATATATATAGAGTTCACTGGGCGTAGCTCAGTTGGCAGAGCATTGGGCTAGTATTCCAAAGGTCGTAGGTTCGACTCCCACCGTGGTCGGGCGTATTTTTCAAGCTCGCCCGGTGTGGATATACACTCAGAGTAACATCACAAACATAATGGCCAAACTGTCGCAAATATGGGCGCGAAAAGTCCGTATGTGTATAGTCTGTATAAGGGAAAGTACATTTATTATGCCGAGGGGGGGATGAAGATGTTAAGGGGGGGCTCCGAAATATTTTCTGGCATTAAAGGGGGGGCTCTGAAAGTTCTTGATATACTGAAGGGGGGGGCTCTAAACTTTTCAAAGGTTTGACCCCAGCAAATTAAAGTTAAAATTTTTACATCAGTTTCAGGTAAAATTTGCGTAATAAAGTAATTATTTTTGTGAAATGATAACCATTTTTGTAAAATACAGTCAATTTACATGCAATTTGTTTGCGAAATTTGCTTTAGAAAACGCCAGAAATTCAGTCCTAGAGCTTCGAAAATGTAAAAATTTTCTGGGGGAGGACCCCCAGACCCCCCTTTTCTCCCAAAACTTAGTATAAGAGTGCCACAATCAATCACAAAAAGCTTTATTATAATTATTACACGTATAATCCTCTGACATCCCCCCCCCCAAACGTCAGATGCTTTGCTACGTCCCTGATGGTTGTATTCGAAACCGATTTCAGTTTTAAGATATCCTTAGTCTGCTCTTTTAAATGGATACATGAAATCACCTATAGCTTATTTAAAATTTTTTTGCGCCAGGTTTGTGAAGTAATTTACGCGCCAAAAAGCAAAAAAGCATATACAATTTGCAAGAATGATATGTTCTATGTTTATGGGATATTTCGTACAAACGGGATGGAAATTAAAGAAATTGAAGCATACTGGCACTTTTGCATGCATTTTTGACAGGCATGCAAAGACATTTGCAACAGATGCCGGGAGATATGTTGGGTGGGGGCAACATACTGTAAGGTTCCAGCACATTACCCTGATCCAGGAAATCCTGGCCACTACATGAACGTGTTCAAGACTCCGAATACGCTTCAATGATGGACAACAACAACCTGTTGATAATTCCACCCCTAGAGCCAATTTAAAAAGTTTTAAAGACGGTGCCATTTCATCTGGCGCTAGTGAGATGAAAGAAGCAGCAGATCGGTAGTTTTGTTGAGGAGAAGCACTTGAGTATATCAGACATCTTGAGGAACTGCAAATTGTATCTATGATAAGAGAGAATTCCGGATTGTACTCCTTCGATTCCGAATTCTAGAAGGGGGGGGGGGAATTAAAAATTTTAAAAACTTCGAGGGGGGGCATCGAAATTTACCGATAACCTCAACAGGGGCCCTGTAAAAATATGAGCTTTTTTCAAGACATCTTCATCCCCCTCCCTCGGTGTAATAAATGTACTTTCCCTAAGGCTAGTATATGTATAAACGAGATCGATTTTTTAGCTTTTTCACATCTCTAGTCTAAACACAATAATCATACCAAATTAAATATAGTTGAAAATTCCAACAAAAGGCCTTATTATCCTTGAGACTATGATATTGGTGAATTGTGACTATACCAGTGTATACGTTTTGTGCTGGATCTGATCTACAGAATCCCAGGACAGTGGCGTAACACTCATTAGGTAGGGTTAGTTCAAAAACTAAGGCCCCCGACAGTTAGGGGCCCCATGACCCATCAGCCACGACCTGTCACCCAGAAAATTAGAAAACGTAAAAAATGCAGGTTAATTAAGAATCAATGGGAAAATGCAAAATTAATTATGCTATTAAATAATTTTAAAAACCTCCATCGACAACGGTAGCTGATTTTTTTATTCCATTTCAAATAAACCAAAAGTTATTTGTGTTGTGTTGGAGACTGTTATATTGTTATTGTTATAGACATGGAATTTTCCAGAACATTCTATAAATATTCAATATAAAAATAATATCTCAGTCAAACAATGACGACATAAGCCTAAGGGCCCCCTCTTCCTCCATTACGCGACTGTCCCAGGATAGCTATTTCTATATTTGGTACACAGGTACATTGAGGCTGTGAGGATGCCAGAGATGATATTATGCTCACAGCAGTTTGCAGTGCTGGTTTGGAATCTCCGTTTGCTAACGTAAAACTCCTCTAGCACCCATCTGAAAATCAGTTAGGCGCCTAAAATTGCGGGATTGACCAACTCAAATCCATGTGCTATCTTGACTATTTCCCACGTAAAATCAATAAACTATTTAAGGCTATCACGCAAAAAATGCGCTACTTTTATTATTAATTTCGGTTATGTTAACAATTGTATGAAAAGATATACTGGCAAATTTATACATCTAATTAACTATTGACCATAAATAGTTTTTTGGTTTCTTAATAATTATCTACAATCCCTCAACAATATTTTAAACTATATAATACTCTATGACTATGCATGTTTACTTATTAAATTAGTCTGTACAAAATTGGAATTGGGTTGTCACCAACTCACAGCACCTAACTCAGATTCTAGTAATTACATTTCAATTTTCATTTTCTTTTTTTTATTCAATTAAACTTGGCAATTGTTGCGGGTTTACTAGTCAATATTTGGTCTGTCGGTTGTTATCTTGGAGAAATCCGTTGGAGAATAAAGCTAAAACGATAATAATCATATAAATACATCTATTTTAACTTCTTTTAGTTATATAGAGCTCGTTAAGGGTTCGTTTATCATTTATGGCAGTAGGCCTACTAGTAGGCCCACTGGGTACACAGTAGATTTACAGTAGATAAACGAAATAATTTTTGTAAATATCCCTGCCATCAACCGTGGTCGTTCTTTACCGTACATTGGCAGGGCTGGAGGATTTATTTCGCACCAGGGTGGCGGCGGCAGTAAAAAGTGTTTTTTGTTTATTGTTCGTATAAATTAGCATTCGTGTATTATACATTCATTATTTGTCTTTCCTCGTTTGTTAATTGTTTTCTTAATTGCTGTTTGTTTATTTTGTTCGTTGCATGTTGGCTGTCTCTTATATTTGTTGTTTGTCGTTCTTTCTGTGTTTGTTTGTTCTTAACTTGTTTGTTATTCATTTGTTTAATTTGTTGTTTAATCTTGTTTATGATTTCCTGGTTTATTTGTTCATGGTGGTTATTTGTTTGTATTTAAACAATTTATTAAAGTGCATATGTGAAATTTCTTATTTTCTTAAACGAAAGAACTCTTTAAGCTATAGTGTAACTTATTTTTCAGTTTCTTGTTTTCATGGTTTGTTCCCGAGATATTTCAATTTGTTTGATATGTAGATGAGTGTGAATATGTCCGCTAATTTATGACGTCACGTTGGCTGCAAGCTCAACTTACACTGGTTGTAAATCTATTAACTCTAAAAACTTTAGATATCTGTTCACGTTTTTCTACAGTGTTTCATCACATTTACCAGTGAGTGAAGTTTGAAATTATCATCTTGGATGATAGCAATGATATTCGACCATTTTGAAGAGTTTGCAACCAACATGACGTCATAAATTAGCGGACATATTCACACTCATTTACATATCAAACAAATTGAAATATCTCGGGAACAAACCATAAAAACAAGAAACTAAAAAATAAGTTACATTACAGCTTAAAGAGTTCTTTCCTTTAAGAAAATAAGAAATTTCATGTCATATGCACTTTAAATTCAGAACGACATGTACAAAATAACATATTATATTACATACAATATTGGTTAAATCGTGAGTAGTGCATGGCCAAAAGATTGCGCTTTCTTGTTGACCACAGTTGTTGGTTTGTTGTTATTTGTTTGGTGTCTGTTGTTTCTAGTTTGTTTATAATGTCAAAATATTTCTTTGCTTGCTTGATTGGAATCATGTTTGTTCATTGTTTGGCTTGTTAGATTAACTTTCATCAAAACTTGCACCATCAACTAAGTTGATACTCACCTTGACTTGCTGATTTGGCTTAACATTTAACCACGGAGTTGGATTATTTTTCTTGTCAAACCTAAACAAGAAATTCGTACTATATGAACCACTGTAGTCTGTAGTAATTAATGTAATTTGACATTTTTCGAATTATCAGCTTAATTAGATCAATTAATTATATCATGTTTCGCTCGCTACTCTGGTTTAATTAAATAAATGATTACAAAGCCCAGTCGAATTGTAATCAAGACCCAACGTTTCGACACTCCAGTCTAGTGTCTTCATCAGGGGTGATCTAAAGATGCAATCGTTGCTTCTTATATACCGAAGGGGGATTGCATCTTTGGATCACCCCTGACGAAGACACTAGACTGGAGTGTCGAAACGTTGGGTCTTGATTACAATTCGACTGGGCTTTCTAATCATTTATTTAAACCAGCTAGAGTAGCGAGCGAAACATGATTGATATACCTGGTTGCAGTGAACGAACAAACTTTAAATCAATTAATTATATTTGTCACATTTGTTGCATTCTAATACTATCAACCTCGTACCCAGGGTCCCCGTGTTTAAAGGTTCTGATGCACGTGCAAATACAGTGTCAATAGAGTGTGTAAAGGCTGGCTTACAACTATGCGCATGCAACGTTTCTGTGAACATGTACACACTAGGAAGTTTTGAAGAATTTGTTTGAATATAGAGGTTCAGATTTGACTTCCACTACCGCTCAGCTACTACCTCTAACAGGCTAATTAGTACGCATTTGATTGGTTAATCGAATATATCAAACGCATCTGATTGATTGATGGTCCCTTAGCGGTAGCGGTAGTGGAAGTCAATCATAAAATGGAATGGAATGTCATCTCTACATTGAACCGCGGAGTCAATTACCTCAAACATTTCTTACAAATTCTAGAAAAAACTATGCAAAATTCCTACTCTATGATCACAGAAATTTTCATAGCGTAAACCAGCCTTAACTGCATGTATGATTGTGCGAAAATTTTAAAAATCTAGTAAATTTCAAACATACACGACGTCTGGGTATTTCACAGCAGCTCTTGTTAACATGAATATTCCAAACGAACAACCAAACCCAACACATGCTAGAACTGGAACAATCTGCAGAGGAAAGTTGAGAAGAAAACATTGGATTTTGTAGATCACGTGAAGGAAAATCAGTATCACTGATTAACCCTATCGATGTTACTGATTATAACCCTATCGATATCACAGTATTAATTAACCCACAAAATCGATATCACTGATTAAGCCTACTCGTACTTTTAAAAATGCTATAGAAGTGCGACCAGGATTGAATATGATTTTTGAGACGTTCTCTGGTTGGAAATATTAATTTATCACGAGCTTTCAGACTGTTCTGGTAAACGTCACACTGGAAAAAAAAGTGAAATCCATACTAAGAAATTTGCAATTGCACCACTAAATCCATAGTATATCCATACTATATTCCATACTATATCCATGCTATGGACTAATGTATAATTATTATGGATAACCAAAATCCATTCTATTTCCAATAAAGGTCCATACAATTTCCATTCTATGACCTTCTATGGATTTTAAAAATTTTTCCAGTGTCACTTGTCGCTTCTATATTTGAAATACAGTTCGTCAGGGTTTTACATTACATGATCCGATATTCATAGATATAGAGCAGCGGCCTCATCAGAATATTTGAAGCCACCAATATATACTATAGAATACAGAGCAGGTTATTTGACAGTAATTATATGCGTTCTCAAATTTTATTCATAAACGCGGTAAGGCGGCCGTGCATATCATATTTTCAAATAAGGGGGATTTTTTTTAATACTTTTTTCACCTGATTTGTAATCTAAAACATAAAAACTAATTCTGAAATTCGTGTAATTATAAACTGTACGTATAGCTAGCTATACAATAGTCAATATAATTATAAAGTAGGCCCGATGCATGCGGCCTTTTGCGTTTTATTCTGGAGTCGGATACTTTATTATATATTGTCATTATTCATTAAGTATTAGTCAGCCAAGCAATATATTTGGCGTAAAGAAGCAGAAGCGTAAAATACGCTGCTTTTTGGAAAGCTACAGTACATCTCTACGTCGGATCTGATTCGGTTTTTTCAGCTCATTTTATTTTCAGTTTGCCAAGGAACGGTACTGTGGAGCCGCTCTTTTACTGAAAAATAGACAACCATGACAAGAAAATTCTGGCGGATTCGATTTTTTTTAAAATTTATTTTCCCATGAAAAATCTATTATCAGAAAATATGTTAAATTCAGGTTATTTCATTACAATCCTCTATATAGAATTTTGGGCAACACCGGCCCCCTCCCCATACGGCTATGGTTATGCCATCATTGACATTGGCGTAATACCTTGTTGCAATTTCTACTCATATCAAATTACGATAATGGTTTCAGTGTTTCCATAATTAGTTTTCACACCCGTGCTTGATCAATTTTCGTTTTTAAACTTAATGCATGCGTAACTTGATGAAATATTGCACCTCTTCCTTGACCTGCGTTCGGAATTTTTTGGGCATATTCGCCGAATTCCTCGGATATCAGAACTCATTTGAATTTTGCGTAGGAGATATGTTTAAATTTCCGGTATCGATCCCAACTTCGTGAACTACTGCACGGCCTGCCAATACTGTTTCAGGTGTTTTGAATGATGGCAACGTATTCAAACCCGCTTACTGAGATCATTAGATGACAGCTGTATTCACTTCATTAAATATATAAAGTCATGAGCACAGCACATTTACCTTTGGGGCTTTGGTCGAGCAAAAGTTCATTTGACATTATTTTGGGCAAACACAGCATCTTATAACAATAATATAAATTTCCCGGTGTACTTGAATATGCAGTTTCAACACATCAAGCCACAGAATGATATTCAAAAATGCAAACCAGGAAAGTTGCGACTATATAAGTACTTACTTTTAGTCGCAATTGGCAGTTTTTACCAGGCTCTCGTGAAATAAATTGTGATTATACTATAGTTTGTGTTGGGTTATAAAACCTATGTAAAAACCAATGATAGTGTGCTCAATGGATTACCAGAGCATAATAGAAAGACACAAAAACTTAGCAAAACAAATTTATTACAACGGATGAAAACAGACTATACGGATGAAACAGACTGTTGTGGTTTTTTGAGGTAAAACGAAAAACTATTATATATATATATATATACGGTCTATATATGACTATAAAAAAAGCCTTTTCGAGGATGTTGTATATTAGCAGTTTAGTAGCATGTGCAGGAATATGAATTTTTTTATTCTTTATATCAGTAAACAGCATAATGAATTCCTTACCTCTTTATGTTTTATAATATATTTTAACAGCGACATTTCTTTTGAATTATTTTCCTTCAATCTGTAACACTTGTAAGCCCTGCACTCGTAACTGACCGCGCAGTTAATAAGAATAATATGATCCAACTGTCACTGTGTTGAGATTATTTATACATTATACATATCAGTCTACGTGAGCCAGTTTCCAGTCATGCTAATACGCACGTCCAAAACACTACCCACTACTTAAAATTTAATCAGTATGTTGACTATTTACATAGTTCATTTGCTTAGTCAAATAAACGTGCTAGCATACACGATACCCGGAACGTCTCAGATGAATTATTTACATATTTTGGAGAGGATCGGAAAACACATAGATTAACGAGGAATGATCATACCTCAGTGATTTTATATCTTTATGGAAGTTTCTTTCACTCGAATATCGGCACCGGCGTGGAGTTTCGATCACTATATATAGGAGTTGTATGTGAAATTGGACAATTAGTTCAGAACTTAATCATGCGCGCAATCAATCCGAGAAGAATCAAGTCAGTATAATTCCAGAAATTGTGTAAATGAGTGAAACACAACGAATACGGAAATCATTGTTGATACTTGTCATACTAAGAAATATATATAAAGCTTAGCACGAACGTTTCGTCTTCCTTCGACTTTCCCAACACTCATTCAACTCGAAATGTCCGAGTTGTCTGCTTTGAATTTTCAGGTTTGATTATACTATCAACGTTACGACAGCAAAAGTTTAATCAGTTCCATTAGCTAGACGACTAGACGGTGAACGATGGAATGATGAACTCTCTCTGTTTCACTTGGTAGAACATGAAGAAATGAATTAAACTGAAGGGAGTGGAAGAACGGCATGCGCAGTCAGTAAAGAGCATTTTAATGTAGGCTACATATAACACACCTATAGCATGCATGATGTGACGCACCTACGCGACGAACGAACTGCACCCATGCATGCATGCATCTATGTTGTATGCATTATTTCAAAAACTCAGAGGAAAACACAACCTGAGAAAAATCATAAGCATGTCGTATCTTTAATATATGTGATAGAGATTTCCATTGATTTACATAAAATATAACTTTGATTTTCTCGACTTACACAAACGGAAATGGCTTTTTTGAAATGGCTTTTTTGAACCCCCTCAGAAATTCTAGTCCAAAGGGGGGTGTAGAGTGTAGACATTAAATGGAAATGACTCCCGGGATTTCTAATATACCTGCCGAAGTATTACGAAGAATTGTCGAGAACATGTCGGGAATCTCCGTGTTGTTCCGATTATCAATTTATCTTTTTAAAACAATATGGCGACTATTAATTTTTAGGTGTGTATAAAAAATATTGCAGAAAGAATCATAATAAAAGCTGTTTTCCATAATATTACACAAGAATCTGCGAAATACTGTTTTCTACAATGTCGGACAGGAAAGCTGAGTTAGAGAGAAAGCGAAATAAACTTGAAGAAATTAGGAGAAAAAGAGAAGAGAAGACTCAGCAGAAAAGAGTGAGTCTGTAGTTCACTAGTTCAATCATCTTGATTCTTGAAATTTTGAATTATGTTAGTGTTTATGTTACCCGTGTACAAACTTATACATGTATGGGTTTGGAGTCGTATTTTATTTATATTTATTTATACAAAAGTGAACTGTATTGATATGTGATGAAAGAAATTGTTTCTATTGTATAAACCTTGTCAGACTCCTTCACGCCTTGAAGGAGCTGTTATGCAATTATATGGACTATTAGGAATTATATTTTCATGGAGTGAAAGAAACACCAAAATAAATCATTGCTATTGAACAACAGAATAAAAGGAGCAGTAAATATAGAAAAGGAGCAGTAAATCTATATATTCCTGGGTTATAGTACATCCTGGCTGGAAAGTTTGGAAATTGCGTGGCCAAGATTTCGAAAATTTAATAGTAAATATATAGAAAGCATCAAAATTGTGCGCCCGATATCTCGGCCGCACAAAGTGAAATGGAAACTTCTATACAATATCATATGATCGATGATCGTATA